TTTATTTAGATTAGAATCACATTCATTTCATAGCAATCTATTTTTTAAAATTATGATAATTTATATTTCAGTAATACAGACCTTTATCTGCTTAATAAGTTTATGACCATTATACATTTCTTCATTGTAAGTATGACTTGAAGAAATAAAGAAATACTAGGGCATTTTTTGGTGACCTTATTTAAATGCAATCTTGACCTTTGACCTAAGGACATGGGTCTACTCCAAGGCACGCCAGAATAAGATACACGTATTCAACTGACATAAAACATAAAACAACATACAGTGGGCTTACTGAATCCAGAAATATCGATATTCATAGAGAATGAGACCATGGAACTCGAGGAGCGGGAGGGATCAAATAAGTCGAAATGGACGGAACCAAGTGAGTCAGCGGTGATTAGTCCGAAAAGGTGGAAAGCCCATTCTTTCCACCTTTTCGGACTAATCACCTCAGGGAGTCAGGAGTGGACAAGGCCGAGAAACTCGAAGAGTACGAGATCGAAAAAGTCGAAATGAACGCTTCAGTACACAACATTCCTCAATACCGAATAGTCCTTAAATATTCCCTATATCCTTTTTCATGTTCCCTCAACTCTTGAAAATATCCATAAAGGAAAATCATTATGAATCTAATTATGAAAGTAGATAATCGTGAAACGCTCCACACGCACGTGGAGGATGTATAAGAAAAACAACTGGTTGCTTTACAGAACTATTAAGTGATTTTTAACGTTAATTGAATCGTATAGCTAATGATTACGGCCCCAATTGATCTCAGTGACCGCTTCTATTGGTTTCGATGAAAGCGCTTGCAAAGGTTTCATTTGACACTGTTTTTTGTGTTATTGCTTTTCGTTTTCTTTATAATTATCATTATATCTTTTTATCTCTTATCCTCACCCTCTCTCTCTATCCATCTGTCTACTTCTGTCTACTTCTGTCTTAGAAATCATCAGCACTATATCAGAGTCTTACTGAACTGCGTTACGTCCTAATCTTGTGATACTGTCATATGCTTAATTCATTCCCACCTCCAGATCTCCTGAAGCTGAAGTGGGCCAAAGAACAAGTCAGATTAGATGACACAGAAGAACAAGTCAAAGTGAATGAGACTAAAAAGTTTGAAGTGAATTAGGCTAAGAAACATGTCGACGCAAACGAGTCTTGGAGAAGTCAAAGGAGCCAATGTCGAGAAAGGGAAGTGGGCGAGACTGAAAAAATCAAGTTGACAAGACTGCCAGACTTTATAAAGCTGGGGTCGGACTAAAGGAGAACAAAGAATCTGAAGATGATGAGACAGATTTCCAAGTGGGTAAGACCAAAGAAGATCGAAGTGGATAAGACCAAAGAGTAAGTCGGAATAGACAAGACCAAGGAAGTGGGCGAGACCGAAAAAGATGTAACGAGGGATGAAACTGAAGAAATAGAAGTCAACAAAGGCCAAAAACTCAAAGATTTCAGTTGGATTGATGAAGTCCTAATGGTCAAGACCGAAATAACTGCTTTCTCGGGGGTGAGAACACATGGTAGTTGAATGACCATTGTGGGTGGATACGCATTTTACTAGTCAGACCGTAGCGATGGTCAATATCACTAGAGTGTAGCCATATCCATCCTCATACAGACTCGGTTGTCCCGATTACGTGAGTGTGACTTTACAATGTGTTGACTGGATAGCAGGAATACCGCTGCTAGAGCGGTGAACATGCCCTAAACCTCTATTTACGCGAGGCGCTGCGGGAAGAACATACTGAACACATACAGTATAGCAGCTTCTTCCTCTCTCTCTCTCTCTCTCTCTCTCTCTCTCTCTCTCTCTCTCTCTCTCTCTCTCTCTCTCTCTCTCTCTCTCTCTCTCTCTCTCTCTCTCTCTCTCTCTCTCTCTCTCTTTAGGTAATTTCTGTTAAACTACCAATCGTATTAAATTGATTTGTTGATGAGTATAATCAAATGATAGCAACATCATAATTTAGCATGATGACATTTAACAAAATTTACGTATTGACTATTAGGTGAGTACAATCTGACAACCATCACAGTGCAGCCATACATCTTGAATAAAAGGGAAATAGATTTCATAGCGCAGTGTTTGCGAGCTACGTCCGAATGCAATATTTAAAGAGCTGCAATCAAAATGCTCTTCATAGAAAATGTATAATTACAATTTCACTGAATTATAATTTATGTAAGATATATACACCATATAAAACTTTTTGTTTCCATGAAAATATTTTGCTTGGTACGTATGATACCGCAGTCTGTTTATGCCTGGAAATGGTGCGGATGTGTGTAAAGTTTGGATTTTGTTTTAGCTTGTAAATTGTATTTTCCTTAGAATATTGAACCGGATAGATATTATATCTCTGGGGGGAAAACAATACTTATGACTGTCGCATGTTGAGCGATGCATTAATTTGAAAAAAATGTCACATCCGGCATAAATCGAGCTCCAGTTAGCGACTGAAGGGTTTGGGTGATAAAACTGCCACGCATGCGCGAGAAGCTGGGCCTATTCAGGCGATGACGTCACAGTGACATCATGAACTGGGCCTTTCAGACGCGACAGAGTGCTAGGTGCCAATTCCCTGTCGTGGGGGGAGTGGGGGAGGAGAGGGGGATCGAGGCCCAATGTGGGGGATGAGTCCTACATCGTCTTCTCGTTTTCTTTTCCTTCTCTTCTCCCTCCCCCCTTTCTGCCCACTTACCCGAATTGTTAACTATTTTTTACACTTTTTTTTATCAAAATGCCATGTGACCTATATATCTAGTACATTTATTCGCTATGACCATCAGTCATGCTGGAAATCCACAAACATTACCCTTAGTGAGACATTTGCAATGTTCTGGTAACCCCAGTGCGGTATACTGCTATGATTGAGCTGGTTATGAGATGTCTGTAGCAAGTTCCAGAAACTGAGGATTTATGGTTCCTAATACTAGCGCTCTGCTTGTTGTCACTAGAGATGGTACAGTGATGCGGGAAATGGCCAAGGAGATTGATCACATCCTCTAGAACTGCAGGGTTTACAATTCCACTTCAAAACTCCCTATTGTCTCAGTGGTCACTCTAAGGTGTTTTGCATGGACAAGCTGAAAGAGAGGACGTGTGCCTGGAACAGACCTTCGGTACCAAGGTCTATGTACCAACTCTTAAGTTGAACTCTAATCCATCTTTACAGATGACTGCAGTCTGCTCAGTATCTCAGATTAGTGTTGTGATCTCAGTCATCAGTGAAGAACCACTAACCATAACTGAAGTTAGGATGACGCTCTCTATGCGAGCATCTGCGGCATCCCTACTGAATTGTTAAAATCTGATGGTGAACCTATGGTGCAGGGTTTGCAAGCTGTCCTGGGTGCCATATGGCAGTCTGGTATAATCCCCCCAGGATCTGCCAAGCGGTCTGGTCATCCCTCTCTGGAAATGGGAAGGTTCTTGCTCACATCCTTCGACAACATCTCAGAGATCAGCTGCTGAGCCACCAGATGCTGCAGCAATCCGGGTTTACTCCTGGCAAGTCCACAGTAGACTGTATCCTAAATCATTGCAGAGCACTGTCTTGAGTCCGGTCATGGATTGCTTGCAGCCTACACTGACCTGAAGAAAGCATTCAACATGGCATATCATGAGTAAACCTGAGGATTATTGGATTAAATACACCTTTATGTGCTGGTACTGAAAGTGCTGTGAAACATAATAGGGCCTGTCTAACTTTTTTCCTGGTGTCAGAAATGAGGCAATGATTATATGTCTCCTTGACCAAGACCAATACCCAGAAATCTGAAGGCCTTTTAGAACCTGCTCAGTCGGTCTGCACTTGTAGCAATGATACTGAAGTTACAGGGAGTTTTACATAACTCGGTAGTGTAGTTCATAACAGGACTATCAGACCAGGAAGTCAGTAGAGGGATTAGCCTGGCAGTATGTGTCATGAACTCTTTCGACAAGAGTACTTCGAGATGCCGATACAGCCTATTTTACGCTATGGAAGAGAAACTTGGATGCTTTCCTATGCGTTGGACTCTTGTCTTGATGCCTATCGCAACAGGCATCTAGCTTACTTCGTTCAGGATGATCCTGCTCACCAGATTGTCTTTGTTTGTGACAGTCCCAGGTTGAGGAGATCTTTGGGACGTGTGTGTGTGTGTGTGTATGTGTGTGTGTGTGTGTGTGTGTGTGTGTGTGTGTGTGTGTGTGTGTGTGTGTGTGTGTGTGTGTGTGTGTGTGTGTGAAAATCATTCTGGGTCTGTAAGTGGATCCAGATCAATACTCTAATCTAACTAGTTGGTGCCCGGCCATGTGTCATCATCACAACCCGTGTATAACTTTTCATGTAATTGAGATGATTAACAGATAAGCTACACCCACGAAAGCAGCTTCCTGCAGAGACAAGCTTATAAACATAAGGGAAATATGAATAAGCAAGGTTGATATTGGTACTTTTAAGGAAATAATTATGCAGGATTAATGCTAAATAAACAGGAAACACAGGCAACAAGTACAATTTTCAGCCTAAATCGGGTTCTTAATCTATGAAGTGCCGCGGCTCCTAATCGATCCGTCCCCACACGACCCCCTTACATCTAGTGATAACATTACCTCCCAGATTTCAAAGATACAGATATGTGTGGCAGGGAGTAACCCTCTATAAGGGTTTGGAGAAAAAAAGGATAAAATTATAAGCCTAAGCAACCTATGGCCTATAGAAAAATAAAAGTTGTATGGGCAATACTTTGACATTTCTCATAACTTTTCAATAACAAATATTCTTTGAGAAATTCCTACTTTCCTTCCTCGGGGATATTCCCCGGATTTTTTTTGCATGCAATTTAAACGCAAAGCAAGCAGGAAACGTCAGAAACCAATTAAAACAAAAACTAAAGGGAAATCTGAAATCGGGCAAATGAACAACGTTATGGAGAAGGATCCTGGAATTTAAACATCGAGAATAGTGACTTTTAGTTCCTGACGTTGATGACGTAATGATCTTGGCCCTTAAGCATCAAGAATAATGCCCCCTGGTCCCCTAGGCCGCCGGCCGTGGCTCGCGCAGGAGGCCGCGCTGGAGCCTCGTCGCCGGAGGGAAAGCGACGTCACCCATGAGGACCTCGGGACGGGCGGGGGAGGCGCTGTCACGGCCGCCGCTCGAATTTCACTAAATGTAGGTGATGTCGAAGAGCATCGTGGTTCGAGGAAATAATGAGTAGATATCGGGATGTTTATTCGTTTATTTTGAATGCAAAATGGCAGGTGACGATGAGTATATCTAATGACATGAGGAGTCAGCATTACATGGCAGGAATGAGTGATTAACCCTGAGGTAGAGAGGCGAGCAGTGTCTGTGTCAGTCAATTAGTATTTATTCACCAGATCTTCCGGAAACGTAGGTTACATACACAGGTAGGCTATATATATCGTCTAACCGCAGTGTCTTATAATGTATTGATTATATTTCCCTGTGTGGTAAGTTCAGGAAACATGCTCTGTCCACTGTTGGTTTTGTTTTGTTTTTTGTTAGTGTTGTGACATTGTTATTATTTTAGCATTATTGACAATTGTGGTAATGGAAATTTACCAACTTTACATTACAAGAAATCAAAGAGTAGGAAAATATATAGGCCTAGTGATTGATTCTTTCCTGTCCTGAGAACCCTTAATGTATGTACACATTGTTGTCAGGAAGGAGGTTTGGAGAATCAGTCGGAGGGAGCATGCCAGTATGTCACATGTTTATTAATGTCTCATGTTGCAGAAAGGTTACCTTGCCATGATTTGATCTACTCCAACATGGGGAAGTTTTGTATTGATTATTATTTGAAAAGGGCTGTTTATCATAGTTTTCTTCAATAGAATTATTGAATTTTGTATTAGTGTTAATAATTCCTGAAACTAGGACTGTGTTCTCCAGGGACTAGGTGCCATAATTATCTTCACCCCTATTTTTCAACTTTCAATCTACAAGCTCTGTTGGTATTTGTTGCCAAGACCGACACCTTCCAGAGATGAAGTCTCAAAACCAGGCTGTCATGCAAACATAAAAGTCCAAACCTAACCTTTCCTACCTTCTATTTATTCTCTAGACAGGAGTCAAGCCCCCCTGTACTTCCCTTTTATTAGCACTTATTAAATATAAGAACTCTGACTGTTTGAGGGTGTTGTGGACTTAGTCTCTGAGGGGTGATATGTAGTGGCTATTTCATGTAAATATGAGGTCGCTTCAACTGTACCAGTGTTGTTTATTACTCTATGTCCATTTTCCTCCATCTCTGTGCATTGCTCTCTGTAACATTAACCACTCTGCCTCTCCAGAATATGTATGATTGAGATCTTTAACTCATTTGCTGGAATAATAAAGGCAGAGTTCATTTGAGTCACTGTTGTTGGACCTTAGTTGTTTATGTCTGTATGTTCTTTGTTTCAAGATTTACTGAGATTTACCTTTCAGGATTTCACTTTCAGAATTTCATACTAGATATATTTGGTGGACTTGAAAAACACTCTAAAGGTCCCTACAATTGTACCAACATATTGGAAATGTCTTACAACTTTATGAACCTTGATTTAAATGTAATGAGTACATCACTTAGTGCATGTGGTTATATTTTATATATAAAAATACCTAGGGAGAATGTTGATACTATAACACTTAACTGTATATATTCATTTTTTTTTTTTACTTTTCTTTATAGATCATGAGTGGGCCAGGACTCAGAGCGTTGGTGCTAGGAGGCTCAGGGGAGATCGGCAGGCAGTTGGTGCAGGAACTCATCAACAGCCCTGGCTTTTCCCATGTCACTCTTATTACAAGAAGGGAGTTAGATGTTCAGAGTGAAAAAGTAGAACAAAAATTAGTGGATTTTGAAAATCTTGACAACCACATAGATGCCTTTAAAGATGTACAGGTATGTCTATCAGTTTGTCTCCACATGCCTCTGATTCTGTAATAAACTGTTGTGTTATCCTGAGATTTATTTATGTTTATTTGACATTTATATCATATTCATGTTATGATTTATTTGCTACATTTATTTTTAATGTTAAAAAGTTAGTAAATTTATATACTGTGAAGTATATTGATTGTTTCTAATTCTTTAGTTCCATATTTAGTTCTTTCCTATTGCTCAAAGGGACTGCTGAGAAGGTATACTCTGATCATTTATTCTTTGTTGAAACTTATAACCTAGCCATACATGTATAACAGTATGTTGATTCCCACTACCTATATTTTATATTTGTTTATCTTGTTCTCTCTCTCTCTCTCTCTCTTGAGATACCTGGGGTAAGAGAGAAAGGTTTCTTTGTGACTACAAAAATTGATGCTTGCTTTTAAGTGATTACCTAGTAAAGATAAGGAGAAAAGAAAAACCTTACTTAATCATATCATCAAATGACACCAGGTGAAAATGGATGGTGGAAGGAGATGGGGCAATACATAAATGTATACATATGTATGCATATGTATATACATATATATGATGATAAAGACAATACTGATCATGCAGCTTCAATTCCTTCTATCTAACCTAATATGATCCTAAACCAAACCTAGCCAGATGAGAGTTTTTCCCAGAACCAAATGTGAAGTATATCACATGAATTATGGATTGCTTGAGATACCTGTCACTGAGATATGTGGCGACCTAGATTCCATAACCCACACTCCAGTAATTTCCTGCCACTTAAGCATCTGCTCTCCCCCCTGTATAGATAGAAATGCAGAAGCCAGGTCCTGTACCTACATCTATTAACGTTTTTATTATGATGTAAGGAAAATCAGTATAGGAAGAAGTTAGGATAGAAAGAGAACAAAGAACTGGATTGCAAAGGTTCAGAAGTAGAAAATATTCAAGTTATCTGTGTTACAAAATACTTTTAATAGCATTGTAAGGATAAGTAAGAGGTATCTGATAATGTTCTATGTAAGCTGATTGCAGGTGTAATAGTATGAATGTAATAAATTAAAAGAAAGATTTCATAATTCAAAACCTTACATTAAGAATCATTTAGGTTATGTGTATGTTAAATTATATGGTTGATATCCATCAGGTTGCCTACAGCTGCTTAGGAACCACAAGAGGCAAGGCTGGTGCTAAGGGTTTTGTGCGAGTGGACAGAGACTATGTCTACGGTGCTGCAAAGCTGTTGAAGGACAGTGGATGCTCACACTTCCACCTGGTGTCCTCAACAGGAGCCAATAAAAATTCCCATTTCCTTTATCAAAAAACAAAAGGTAAAATTCATGGAAGCTTTTTATCTTAGGTTGAGATTTTTATATTAAGCCCTTGGATCTAGATGATTCACTACCTGCACGTGGCCCAAAATACAGGCATTAGGCTTATTTGAGTGGCAACTCTGTTGATTGTGCAGTTTGTAGGCTGGGTGCACACGAACACCCTTGTATGGTGACAAGACTCCATGCTTTCTCTTTGCAATATTATTTACTCTTTTTCTCCATAAGCCTTTTTAGCTTTTTTACCATTTCCTTATGTCTACATTTGTCATTTGATTTGCTTAATCAAGATGGTAATAGAGTTTTCTTTGCAGACTCTATATCACATCTCTTGGTAATCTATAGGTGTCCATTACAATAATATTAGCAATAAGTAATATTTTGTTATTTATATCATAAAAAAAAAATTGTATTGTTCAGTTTTCTTTAATACAACCTGCACCACCAGTCACAGCAGGCAGGAATAGGATCCTGAGCATGGAAATAGTGTCCTCCCTGGAACCAGTACTCTTTCAGTCATGGCTTACAGATGGTACATTCCACACTCATTTATCAATGGAAGCAATACAAAAGCCCTTTCCTAAATGCCCACTGAATTTAGTCACTTTTCAAGAGCTTTGTGCCCTTTAAGCAAGTCATTCCCATCATCCTGGCCTTCAGCTGAAATTCTCAAAACAGCAGGATCCCATCACCCCAGCCCACAGCTAAATATTCCCATAATAGCATGTTCACATCACTCACTCCTGAAGCCATGGTGGTCATGTCATCCAGAGCGTAAGGTTAAAAGGAACAGCATGTTTTCATAGAAGTAGAAATAGGTATAGTAAACTTATGCCTTTCTGTGATTTCAGTCAAAAATTGTTTGATAATTGTAATTTTGTAAGCATTTAACAAAAGTAGGTGTGCAGTGATAGTTACAACTTTTGTTAATGATTAAGTGGAATACATAATTACTAAATTACATTACATATAATTTTGAAATACACATTGAGGTATGACATATTTTTAAATTAGACATTTCTTTATGAAATTATAAGATTAGGTCCTTAGTTTACATAATTTAATCAGCTCTTTGAATCCTTAGAATATTTGATTACAATTAGCCATCCAATAAAGTTGAATCTGGTCAAACCAACTTTACATATGGTTGTAAATTAGGTTGAAGCATGAAATGTAAATTAATATCTCGTATATTGGATCTCAGATTTTTTGTAAATATGATAAGATACTAAATAATGTGTAATTGACATTCTATAGTCTTTCTGCTGTTTATACACTCCTTGCAATTGAAAATTTACTAGATATTTGCAGGTGTTTATACAGTTATATTATTGAGTACAAGGTTTTCTTGGTTTGGATGTAAGGCATATTATTGTTATGCAAAACACTGACATTAGCAACGTGTAAATTTATCATTAACCCATTGCCACCAGAGATGGCATGTTATGCCCACTGTGTGTTTAGTTTATAAATTGTCTGTACACATAGATGGCTCTACAAGTACTTAGTCATAAAGTCAGTTACTATTACTACCTATCTCACTAGTTTGCCCTTTTCCTTGATTTTTTGGAGATGTTCTCTCTTAGCTTATATTGCTATTAGTAATGATGATAACATTATTATCTGTAATAATAATAAAGCATCAATGCCAATAGCATTATTAAAACAACATTTTCCTGAAAACTCAAGGAAAGGTGGAATCAGTAGAGGGCACCTGATCTACTAATTGATTCTTTCATGGTTGAGCACTTGTTGAGCCATCTGTGTAAAGAGACATTTTACAAAAGATAATTAAAGTGAACATTATATCATTACATCATGGTGCAAAACATCTATAAACATGAAAAATTGTACTCTGTGAGCAGATATGAATGCTTTTATTTATTTATTATACTCCCTGTTGCAGGTGAAGTAGAGAACATGGTTACAGAGCTTAATTTTCCACGTCTGTCCATCTACCGCCCATCTCTTCTCCTTTGTGATAGACAGGAATCACGTCCCATGGAGAAGATTGCACAGGTAAGAAAGGAAAGCCCTGAGCTTGGAGATACAGAGTAGGTCTTGGCTCTTATAGATCCCCTACATTTCACTTTACTAGCAGTGCTTGGACTCCCATTTTTTTACTCCTTAGTTGATGACTATTATGTATACAAAATAATCATATTGCATGACTGACAAGAAGCTGTCAGTCTTGTGTCAATATTATAGGCAATACAGTTAATGTAGAGGACCATGCAGTATAGCAGCAGTATGACAAACCTTGGTTGTTGTAGCCACCCTGAAATTATTTTGGATATTCACTTGACTATTGCTGAATAAGAGATTATTATTATTATGATTATTATTATTAATATGGTAAGCCATACAAAGAACTACACTGAAAAATTCAAGAATTATACCACCAAAAGCAGGTCAAAATACAGCTAAGAAAAAAAAAAAAACTCCTCTCCTATTTATGTAGTAAATACTTATTAGCCAATCTTTTAAACTTATCTAGAATCAGAGAAGTTATGATCTCTGAAGACAATATATTCTGAAGCCAACAAATGAGTCAAATGTAGGGAAGATGTGAATTATCAGTTACAATCTTGTATAAGACTGAAAGAGCCCCAATATCCCTACGATGCCCAACATCCAGATTTAAGTCAGACAGGAGATATTTAATGGAATTAAAGAACGATCAAGCAGTTGTAAGTGTGGTTATGCAGCAGATAACCACAGAGGAGAACAATACTCAAAATAAGGCACAATAAAAGAAAAGAAGCATGTATGAGTAATGTCGTCATCCTCATAAATCATCTTGTACTTGCAAATGATGCCTAACTCAGATGAAACTGCGAGGGCCATATTCCTAAATTGTAATTCAAGTGCAAGCTTTGAATCAAGGGTTACACCTAAGAGCTTTAGAGTATCCACTGAAGTGACGAAGAGTCAATTAATCAGTAACTTGGATGCTGAGGCAACTGTGTTCTAGACCAACTTACAATTATTTCCTCTGATTGGTAAGATTTAATTTCATGCCCTACTAAGAGCACCATGTTCTGTGAAGTCTGTGCAGGATTTCTTTTTATCACCACATGAGGCAATATACTTTAGGTTTAGCTTCATTGTGTGTGTGTGTATGTGTTGTACTATCATTCTTGAAGTTTCGACAGGCAATTTGGATTTCTGTCAAACTAGGCAATTTTTAAAATTCATTTTAAGTTCATTTATTATTATTTGTTTATTTATGTTTAACAAAAAAAAGTAAATTCTGCAGATGGTAGTGTTTTTAACATCCCTTCTACTAAATTTTCAAAAAAAAAAAAAAAAAAAAAAAAAAGGAAGGAAGGAAGGAATGCTACAAGAAGTATTTATTGCATCTCTTTTTAAAATATCAGTTCCCTCATTTGTTTGATTTTCATAGATATGTAAAAAACACATTTCACTTTCTATTCAGAAATAGATATAATTAGATGAAAATAACATCCACAGTAGTAGACATCAAGGTTAAACAACCTGTAATTTTTCCACTACAGATTGTTGTCCGTGGCTTTGATTGGCGAAACAAGATCAGCATTGGCACAGACACAGTTGCCAGTGCGATGGTGGCCAACACTCTGGAGCAGCAGACGTCAGAAAAGGCAGAAGAGACTAAGGTTGAGATCTTGGAAAATGCAGATATCCTTAGACTTGGAATTGATTAGGAACACCTTTACATGGCCTCAGTGTTTGCATTTAGGGATTTTAATGATTGTGTTAAAAAAAGAGATAAATATGTTAGGGATTCGTGTTTCTAAATTTTGTACGTAGGATGTTCCAGTCTGGATGTCTAATATTTAGGAATCACAGTAGAAATAATGGTTATGTACATGAAAGCTGTTATTGAACCACTTAAAGTTTAAACACTGAGTTTTACAATTCAGTCACACAGATATGCAGAAATATGCCTGAATTTCATTAGAGACCACATAATTACAGTTTTGGTTGTAGGAATTGTTACATTATTGTTGCTATTAACTTTTCTCTTTTATGGCAGTGGTTGAAGTATGCTTTTATGTGTGTCATTTTGTATATAAATAAGCATTATATTTATTACTTCAGATATGCATTTAACCCACTGACACTGGAATGACATATACATGCCATCTGTGATTTTAGTTTATTCATTTCCTTTACACAGATAGCTCCACAAGGGCTTAATCACCAAGGAGTAATTTTCTAGGCCTACCTGATCTTGGCTGTTTACCGTATATATCAGTTCCCTCATTTGTTTGATTTTCATAGATATGTAAAAAACACATTTCACTTTCTATTCAGAAATAGATATAATTAGATGAAAATAACATCCACAGTAGTAGACATCAAGGTTAAACAACCTGTAATTTTTCCACTACAGATTGTTGTCCGTGGCTTTGATTGGCGAAACAAGATCAGCATTGGCACAGACACAGTTGCCAGTGCGATGGTGGCCAACACTCTGGAGCAGCAGACGTCAGAAAAGGCAGAAGAGACTAAGGTTGAGATCTTGGAAAATGCAGATATCCTTAGACTTGGAATTGATTAGGAACACCTTTACATGGCCTCAGTGTTTGCATTTAGGGATTTTAATGATTGTGTTAAAAAAAGAGATAAATATGTTAGGGATTCGTGTTTCTAAATTTTGTACGTAGGATGTTCCAGTCTGGATGTCTAATATTTAGGAATCACAGTAGAAATAATGGTTATGTACATGAAAGCTGTTATTGAACCACTTAAAGTTTAAACACTGAGTTTTACAATTCAGTCACACAGATATGCAGAAATATGCCTGAATTTCATTAGAGACCACATAATTACAGTTTTGGTTGTAGGAATTGTTACATTATTGTTGCTATTAACTTTTCTCTTTTATGGCAGTGGTTGAAGTATGCTTTTATGTGTGTCATTTTGTATATAAATAAGCATTATATTTATTACTTCAGATATGCATTTAACCCACTGACACTGGAATGACATATACATGCCATCTGTGATTTTAGTTTATTCATTTCCTTTACACAGATAGCTCCACAAGGGCTTAATCACCAAGGAGTAATTTTCTAGGCCTACCTGATCTTGGCTGTTTACCGTATAAGTTGATTTTTGTCATGATTTTTAAAATTTATTTATAGTGATGATAATAACAGTATAAGAAAAATAAAACAGATCCCAATAATTCTCAAGCAATGCGTTAAACAGGTAAGGTCAAGTAGGCCTAGTAACTGACATCTGGGTGACTAAGCACTTCCAAATCCATCTTCGTGTAAACAGAATAGACAAAACAGAACTACAGCGCACAGGGCACATATCCAGCACCAGTGGGAAAAAAAAACAGATTCTTTTACCAAATTAGGTGCATTTTCTGTTTATGGGTGTTGTGATTTTTATTACTTAATATTTAATATAGTTAAAGTTGATATTCACTTGAAATTCAATTTCATAGTGAAAAGTTTACTGATTATTTCTATTTCTCTCTTGCAGTTAGGAAGTACATTTACTGGTCAATCATGGAAAGTATAAGTTATATCAGCCTTAAATGAAATACTGAATAGTTGTCATTACTGCTTGATATGTGATCTGTGGACCAAACCACTTACTCTAATTTTAGGCTTAGGTTTAGATGAATGAAAAGTTCTTTTGTAGGCAAGGGGAAGAAATGGTATTGCCTTACTTATTAGTGAGAAGTATCATAGCAATAGAGTGACAGTTGGTGCTCAGATGGAGTTCAGATTTTAGACCTTTTTGTAAATTACCAACTGGTGAATTTCATGATGTTGTAACATGATGGCCTTTTATTATGAAAATTGCCTATATTTAATGACTAAATGCCTTAACATTCAGTAATATTATTGAAAAGGAAGAGCATGAATCATGACTAGATGTTTTTTAGACACGTTTTTATCACACTATTGGATGTGATATCTGTGAGGTTTTGTATGTTGATATCACATCATTAAGCATATAACTTGTTTGAAATTTGAAGAATTTGGTGACACTTTTACTTGAAATAAGTAGGAAATAGTCAGAAGCCTACTGCAGAAAAATATTTCAGAAAATGGACTGCAGGTTTTGGAAATAGTGCTACTGCAGGATAATGACTAATAATTATGCAAGATTGTTTTTATTCAACAATTTGCAATTTTCTCTGTATCCCACTAACATTTGAATGTTTGCAAAATAAGTTTGTTGTGATATCTGTCCTAAGCAGAATAGTCATATCTCTTGAGATTTCTGTTTTAGGCAAAATGTCAGCTTAGAACCTGTCTGTATCCACTCTCAGAGTAGCAGAGATGCTCCTAATTCCACAGAAGTTGTATTGCAGGTTTCTAGATCTCATTTAAGTGTTTCACAGAGATTTAACCTATTCATATTATTAACTAGCATAATTTGGCTCCATTTTAGAAGTTTGTCGGTTTTTACCTGCTTGGTGCTTAAGTGAGTTGTGTTACCCTACCTCCCCCCTCTCTCCCTCACCCTCCCTCTCACCCACTCCCTCTCCCTCCCTCTTGTATGAATTGGCTGTATTTCAAAAAAAAAGTAATGATTAAAAAGGTAATTATTATGAACATACAGTTTCCCCCAACATCAGTGACCTTAGTACAAGGATTCCTGAACATCTAAAAACTGATGTTAGCAATGGGCAAAGTCTGATAATCAGGCAGTCCCCTTGATCCAAGTTTGTGTGTATTATCGAGTGTGACCGTAGTAATTAACAGTTGCACAGTACACCCATTATTGTTTTGAATTTCTGAGGCTGCAGTTATCAACCTGTTTAACTATATTTAAACCATTCTAATCCTGTTATTGTTAAATTATTGTTATTGGGTGACAAAGCAACTGGCCTGGTTTGTGTTTAGGTTGTATACATGCCTCATGCTGAGAGTTGGTTACAAATTGCATGTAGTAGGGAAGCCTTTCTTCACACCAGATACAGAAAACAGATAATTTCTACAATGTGTAAATGTTAACATTGTGTATTTTCTTTTTTTGTTTACAGTTTGCAGACTCTACTGACTTTGTCTATGCTTAAAGATTTTCTAAAGTATATAAAGGATATAAAGTTTGGATTTGTATGAAAACTCTTTAATATACTTTTTCCTGTTTCACAGTTCTCCCTTCCATTTATAATTTTTTCTTTTTTAAACAAGGCTTAGAGGTCAGACTCAGGGAATCAAGAACTGTGAAAGTTACAGGTTGTATTACTGTTATCAATGTGTTATGTAATGATTATCATTGTGCAAATTTTTGGTGCTATAGTGAATTGGTTGCTAAGTAATGTTTATTGGCTTTATTTATTTAAACGAAAAAAAAATTACAACACTTACCTTGCATATAGAAGTAGCTGTATTTTATGTGTATCCATTTACAGACTTGAATGAAAGTAAATTTAAAAGATGATTTTGTATGCCACTACCCTACCACCTGTAGAAATAATCTATGAAAAACTTTGAAGAGGAAGACTATTACTCTGAGTGGAATCCCTCAATATCCTTTGGCTGTGGCAGATCCTGAACCTACATGTTTAAAGACCCTTAGTTTGCCCCAGCAACATGCATTATATCTAAATAGCAGCCCCAAGGAATAATGATGGTATTAACTATGTATAAACTAAATGTATAGAAAAAAGAAAAGGATTAACAAAGGCAATCTGTGATCCTAACTACACAGTAGTAATTTTTTTATAATTTCAGTTCTTGATTCTTCACCATCAAATTCTAATTTTATTTTTAAGGCACACTTGATGTAATACCTACTCAAACATACCATCATACTAACAGTAAGATAATTAACCACATTCTGCAGGGGAGAATGCTTTGCTTATTTTTTATTTTTTTGTGAAATGTCTCTGCTAGTGCTTAGCCACAAAGGAGTCAATTAGTAGACCTACACATAGATGGCTCTGCCTTACCTAATTTCACCTTTCCTTGAATTGGCGGGAAACACATATCTTTTTACTAATGCTATGAATATCGATGGTGTTATTTTTATTATATTATTAATGTTATAAACATTAGTAACAGCACAAAAAGATCTCATAAAATATTTTTGTAAATCAAGGAAAAAGGGCGAGACAGGCAGTACTCGTAATTGGTCATTGGTGACTTAGTATAAGTGTAGCCATGTGTAAAAACAATTAAACAAGTAACTCACAGTGGGCATGGCATGTACATACATCCCATCCCCGTCAGCATTGAGTTAATTATACATTATCGTTTGCATAATGAAATTAAAGAAAGAAGTAAAGAAAATTTAAAAGTAACTTAGATTAGCCAAAAACAGATACACAAACAGGGATGATGGTTACTTTATAGGCCTATCAGTCCCTTGCTCATTGTTGCTGTGGAGGTGCTTAGGAGGTGGAAATGGAGGCCCAATGTAGGGATTACCCCTGCCTCAGACCTTAGCCCTCGCCTCAACTACTTTTGCAAGGTCTTTCTTCTCCTTTCCTTTTCCTTCTCTTCGTCATCTCTTCTTCTGTCCACTTAACCTAAGCATTAATTCATTTTTACCCTTTTTGCATAATCCTGTGTGACCTTTGATGTCTGGCATACTTGTTTGTTTTGACCATTGACCATTCAAGAAATCCTCAAACATCGCCTTCTGAACCCCCAATCCCTTGCTGCTGTTGCTATGGGGAGACCTAGGAGACAGACTGGGACCCAGTGCTAGGGTTCACCCCTACCTTGGGCTTCAGCCCTCGACTCAACTAATTTTGCAAGTTTTTTCTTCTTCCCTTTCCATTTCCTTCTCTTCTCCAACCCTATCTATATATACTTCCATATTGAGCCATATTGAAAGGATGAAAGGCTGACTTTGTGCTCCACTTGTACTTGTACTGCCTGTCTCGCCCATTTACCCTTTTCTTTAATATACAAAAATATTTTGCATTATCTTAATTTGCTGTTACTAATGTTTATAACATTATAGTAATTATAATGTTTATAATAAAAATAACCATCAATATTCATTGCACTAGTAAAAATACATTTTCCCGACAATTCAAGTAAAGGTGAAATCAGGTAAGGCAGAGCCATCTATGTGTAGAGACATTTTACAAAATATATAAAAAATGAGCACAGCATTTTCCCCATTTTTTTTTTTTTTTTTTTCATTTTTTCCCATCGCGAATGGGT